TGCAGTATACAAGCAAACTCAATATCAAAGAAAGAACGATATAATAAGAGAGTATTACTTGTAACTACACATGTGTGGTAGCCACCACATGCAACTTCTTCTGCATATGGTACTTCACTGATAATCGATGGTGTTGTGGCATTTCTTACTCCTCCAAAGCCCTGTATTTTCCCATCAGATAGCTTCACATATATGACCACAGAAATCAAAGAAAAAGACATTTTCTTACCATCTTGTTTATAGATTTCTCTCCGAACATGAAAGCAGAGCCATTCTCTGCATTTGCAAACAAACCTCATAAAGTCCGGTAAATGGCACAACATTCATACTTTTAAGAAAGTAAATCAATACCATCAGTGCATGCTGAATGCAGCAGACCAGCAGCAACATTTGTGACCTAGTGCTCGACAGAAAGAATGGAAAAACATAAGCATGAAAGTCTAAAGATTAAAACCACCACTAGGTAACTAGAAACTCTTCATCCAAGGTGGATATTCTTCACCACTAGATTACCTTGATCCCCTCAAGTTCCTTGATAAGCCTTGGAGTAAACTCACTGCAATCAGGGGGATACTTTACAGTGCAATACAAGAAAATTATGAAGGATTCATGAAAAAGTAAAGGAGGAAATGGGAAAATTCTTGTGAGCAAAAAATGCATGAGAAAGAGACAAAACGATATTGAAATTAAGTAAAACAAACCTGTTACTTCTTAAGATGCCAAAAAGACTGGACTGGTGACCGTGGCCAAGTCTTCCAGAGCCCCCTCCTCCCCAACTCAGGACTTCACCTCCATCTGCTCAAGAAAAAGATACCCTCAGATTTCTCCGAGTACTTAAAAGACAAAAAGGTGTTTTCTTCTGTATCCAGATAAGAATCGAGGATCCAAACCAGTAACAGCAACTGAATGCTCTGAACCCAAAGCCACGGATTGTATGGTGATGCCATGCAGAGCTTCCACTTTAGTTGGTACACGTACCACTCTTGCAGCCTCTTCATAAGAAAAAAAATGTATAAAGGAAAAGAACATGTAAATAGAGCAAGAAACTTGATGTATTAGGACATGCATAGCAGTGCATAAATGTTTGAATGGAAAGTGATGTACTTTTTCCCAGTCCAAGCTGTCCACTTGAGTTCTTTCCCCACATGTAGAGTTCTCCATCAACTAATGAAATGAAAGAGAGCAAATATGAGTGCCATACTATTTCAACAAGATCATGTTTAAGGTTCAGGTTATGACAATTCAATGAAGAACATTGTGGTTACTGGTTGTTTACCTGTAATAGCAGCGGAGTGATAATAACCAGCTGAAATGTGCAGAATATCCTTATCTAGTCCAGAAACTTCAAGCGGATCCTAAAACATCAAATTTATAATTGAATTATCTGAGATAAAGACATGTGAAGGAAAAGAAAAGAAAAACCAGCAGCTCTATAGTGTTTTGACCAACCTACCAATTAGTAACATACCATAGCATGACTTTTAACATCTGATACGCCAAGTTGACCACAATCATTAAGACCCGTTGCAAAGACTCTCCTCGTTTCTGTCACATGTGTAAGCTTATTATCAGATACTCTTCAAAACCAATCACTGATTCAAAAGATGATAACTTTACAAAAACGCAACTCAACAACCACATGCCCAATTAAACAAAGCCAAGAAATGCTATCCAACGAAGACCACTCTAATACTGATTATATGCAGCTATGATCTGCAAATGGCATATACCAAAATGAATGAAATCTCAGCAACTCATTGAGATGCCAATTCTCCGGATTTCTCAGCTCAATAGTCAACACAATTCTTCTCCCTCTACTTTTATTACTCACATTGCAACCTCTTAAGATTTCAAAGTTCCTGGATAATCCACTAAATAAAATATATATATATATATATATATATATATATATAAAACAAGTCGGGAGCTGAAGAAATCACCGGTGAGAAACAGAGTGTGAGCTCCGCCGCAAGCGACAGCTGTGATACTGTGATCACTCAAGGCAGAGCAAACGGCAGGTGTCCACTGAGAATCCAAGTTTCCGAGCCCTAATCTGCCGTAATCTCCACTTCCCCACATCGCCGCAAATCGTTTCCCGCTCTCGCTCGATACCCATCTGCTACAGCAAACACCAATCGGACCCAATTTCGAATCTTTTAAAAGCCCACTCGTACAATTCGATCCCTGAATCCTCGACACAGGAATTCGAACTCGTCCGATGGCTCTAGTCAACATTTTCACTTGTAGAAATCAAAAGAAAATGTGATTAAAGGAGATCAATTTAGATAGTTAAAATGGATGGATTCTTCTTCTTCTTCTTCTCCGTTTGAAAAGAGACTAGATTTTTCATGGAGAGATTGAACTCGTAAATGGAATCACATGATGATCAACAACAAGGAAGAAGAAACTGATGGATAGCAAGAATGCTACGTCTTCCCGTTATTGAAAGTCTCTGTCGAGTGACAAGGTTTTTCGAAATCGGTCCTTTCCAGTTCTTTTTTCTATTTGTCAAATTCGCCTTTTAAGTTTGTTTTGTACAATTTCACACCCAAATCAGACAATTGGTTTTGTGAATCAGTTTTCTTTTGGCTTAATTATGATCACTCATAGGAAAATATATATATGTTCGTCGTATCAAATAGTGTGATCATACTACTTGATAGTCTCACATTAACTCAATATTTACACTTTGAATATATAAATACATACATGATGAGTTTACTAACACTTGGATGTATATGCTGAACAATTAAGATGCATCTTTGTCTTCTCTTATTTTGGCTAAGGATATATTTTAAATGAATAAATCTTGGGGTTGTGGTCATTTGTGCCTCTATATATACAAGACATAGGTTTATTTTGTCTCACACATACCTTTCTTTCTCTTCTTCTTCTTACGAAAAGTTTCATCACATTCACATTATCTTTAACTTTGGTCTCTTTTCTTTTTTGTCTCTTTTCTCTTCTTGATAACGTGGTTCTAGTCTTGATTAATTCATTGTTGTGCGATTTAGTGTTGAGAGGATTGTTGTCTGGCTCGAGGTCATGAAGAAGAGAATCACTCGAATTAATTTGGAAGAACAAATTAAGAAAACCCTAGATGATTCTCGGACCAGGCTTCATTCCCCCTAACCTACTTATCGCTTTTCGCCCACTTTCTTTCTTTAGTCTTTTTTGTCTTAGTTTCATATTTGTTATATCTTGCGACCGAGGTAAATTTTGATCTTGTTATTAGATTAATTACTCTACATGACACACAAAACTGTTGTCTATATGTTTCTATATATAGCTTTTTGGTTTTGTTTAGTTATCATATTATAGAGCTCTTACATATATGAAAGTATAAATAGAGACTTTGAGAAACTGAGAAAATTAGAGGTATTCAAAGATTGAATGATATTTTTCTTTCATATGTACCCTTTTCTTTTTTGGGTTTATGGATGCTTTTCTTCAATATATTTCAACCAGTATCTTTCACGTCACAATTCACATCTTAACGTTCTCTCTCTCTCTCTCTCTCTCTCTCTCTCCGTCACGAGTCACGATCTCTGAAAATTGGTTTCTGTAATAATCTAAAATACAGGAAGAAGATTGTTTCTAATTACGTGTAATTTCATTTCATATTGAAGACAACGACGAGACTTAAATTTTCTTAAAACCGTCACTGTCAAATATCTTTTACGTGCCTTTTATTTGCTCTTCGCTTTATCCTTCTTCTTTTTATGTGGTCTTCTCATTTTTTTCCAACGTCTGTCTATCTCACTTTGTTGTCCATCTATAGCTAATTAGCCTTGTTTTTCCAACGTTCTATAAATTATAACGTTATTATATACTCTATGCAATTAAAGCTCCTTTGAGTATGTGATTAAACTTAATTTTATATAAAAATAAATAGAAACTTAATATATACAAGAAAAAATCGTTTTAAAGTAAACTTACCTCTTGATAAAAAAGAAAAAGAAAAAGAAAAATAGAAGTAAACTTACCTCTAACTAAACTTAGTTGAGCAAAACTTTCCCATAGCTTAACCTAAGTTTTCAAAAAATTATAAACATTAATTTAAAATAAGCAAATTTAATATATTCCTAATGTCACTATATAATATACCAGAAGGTTAGCTAAAGGAATAAAGGATGATAATGTTAAATTTTAATCAGTTTTCAAAGATTGAATTAGTTCATCTTTTTTTTTTAAAACATATCAAAATAATTAGTAAAATAATAATAAAACCCCAAATGGTATGTTGACCAATAATAAAGACAAAAAGTGTTTTATAGTTGAATTTTAAAATAGTCTTGTATAGTTGCATATAAAATTAAAAAAGCGATCTAGTATAGGAAAAATTTGGACGTACCGAGGTAAAGACCAAAACAATGTTTTGTCATTTTCACAACAATCAATGCATATGTTCGTGAAGTCGTCACGAACCACCTATATAAGCCAATGCATCCATATATATAAAGATATAACACACATATAGATATAGTACAAGTTAAATGAAACATATTTTGATTGTACAATTAGAATTCTGATTATACTTTAGAATAAAAAGAACAGAAAAAAGTAGAAGTTCATTGAGAGAGATCCAAAAGAAATAATAAGGCAATAATGAGATAGAAACCATGGTACTTGTCTCCAATTAACTACTGTTGACCTCGGAAAAGAAGGAAATTGAAGAACCAACTAAAGACAAATGAAGATATATACATGGAGGAAAAGTTTGAATGTGCATATGGAGTATGTTTTACTTTTATCTTTACAACTCCGGATTTCACTGTAAACTTCTATATAAGGCAACCCCTACACACACTATATTAAGACAGTAACCAAAACCCCAAAATTTTACTAAATTAATGTAAGAGAAGTAAATATGAAAATTTTGGTCTTGTGGTCATTTGCTCCTCTCTCCTATGTATAAATATTCGCCTCACACATACACCTATTTAGCTTCTTCTTCTTCTTCTGTCTACTTACATAAAGTTATCCTGCTTTGGTTTAGGGTTGAGAGGAATATTGTCTGGCTCGAGGTCATGAAGAAGATCGGTAGATTGATTCATTTTAAAGAGTGAAATCCCTAAATGATTCTCGGACCAGGCTTCATTCCCCCCAACCGACATATCACATTCTTACTTAATTCTTTTTTTTTGTCTATCTGCTTTGATACTTCTTGTGAAATGGGGTTTGTTGACTATATATAATTTGTAGATCCTGAAGTGAGAGCTACATTTTCATCATTTCTCCTGATTAATCTATATCAAAAAGAAAAATGTTGTTTACATGCATGTTTCTCAGCTGTTAGAGGGTCTGTCTAAATCTCGAGGAAGGTCCCAATTATTATAAGTCATAACATATAGAGCTATTGTATAAAGTAGTAAGATTCAAGAGTGTCTCATAGTTTGCCTTCAATGTTAAACACCTATCATTTCTAGATTTATGCATGCATTTTATATTTTCTATTGATTTTCCCTTTTAAAATCTCGATTTTTTTTTTTCCTTTTTCACATCACAATTCACATCCAAATATCTTGACCCTTTCTCTTCAGTCACGAGTCAAGACCTCTGAGACTTGGTTCTGTAATAATCTAAAACCTAGAAAGAAGTTTGTTTCTAATTACGTGTAACTTCATTTCACATTGAAGGAAGACAATGATGGGACTTTCGTTTTTTCTTAAAACCATCACTATCAAATTTCATTGACTTACCTTTACTCTTTTGTTCCTTGCTATTATCCTCCTTATTGTTCGGTGCTCTCTCACTCTATTTTATCAAAGTGAAATATAAACACTAAAAACAGATGAAACATTAAAAAGAGATCAGATAATTTCAATCCAATGTTACAATTTACATAAATACATGTTTATCTTTGCGAGTTACAAGACTACACAAATAGTGAAATGTACATAATTAATGCTTCAATATTGAACCCAATTGATATCAAGATCTTTAAGATTGTACAACCATTTCTCGGTATCTTGAGAGACGTAAGGTTTATTATTCTTATTAACCGTTGAATTTAAATCGGCCTCAGTAGATTCAGTTCTCAGTATCGTGTTACCGTTGTCTTTACGAGCATTTAGCTGCCTGTTTGGATGTCTCACGTTCAATGCTAAAAGACGAGATACTTCGTGTAATCCTCCCCATTTCTCGAGCGCCCGAGCAATGTCATAACGACCTGAAACAACAGACCAAATGTTTCTCAGACCAATCCGATTGAGAAGAACACACAGAGCTTAAATTGAGTTTACTGTTTGTACCTGCTCGTTCGAAAGATTTTCTGCTCGGCATAAATGATGGATCCATTCCCCAACTCTGTTGAAATCTTCCTATCTGCAACCACATGCAGAGGGAGAAGCTCTTGTAAACACCATGGCAACAGTGGTTTTAATTTTTGAACATGTCTAGAAACTTTACCTCCTCTTGCAAGTTTTCGAGATTGTCCCAATATCCTTTCGGTTTTCGGTGTTTATAAGCAAGTGAAAGATTCATCATCAAAGCTATTCTCCTAAATCCACCCATTCTTGTAATGGCTTTTTCAATGTCAACTCTTCCATGTAACCGAAGCTGCTTCCTCATGGGCATGAATCCTTCTTGTCCATGTTCTGATATGAACTTGAGAATTTCTGATTTCAAGACTTCAATGTCTCTTTGTAGACCAGGAATCCTCCGTCTCTGCTTAGTTTGGTCTGAACCATCATCATTATTGTAAACTGTCTCAACTGATTTGGCACGAGATGAAGAACATGTTTCCTCTGAAACTTGACATGTCTCCAGTTTACATGACTCTGAAGATTTCTCTCCTCTTTTCTCAATGTAATCCCGGATAGCGCATAAATTTGACGGAAGATCTTCATATATAACCTGAAAAGATTCAGAGAAAACATTGTGGTTCCAATAAGAAAAAAAAAAGATTGCACTGAACTCAGTCAATTGTAAGCCAAACCTCTTCCATGATTGCTTCAGAAAGAAATGAATCTTTTCTCATTTTGGACTCCACGGTATACTTGAGAAGTGTGTGGTGACTTCCTAGTTGTTCAAAAATCCATTTCCCCTCTAGCGAGTCAAAGTCTCCTTCAACCTGTTCAAATCTGATTTCCTGCTCACGAATCTCATGCAAATCGAGAACAGCTCTTGCATGAAGCACCATGTAAAGCAGGCCTTTGCATCCTTCCTGAAAACAGAATTCAGTTTTAGTTATATAATTTCTTGAAATCAAGAAAAGAAACATTGGCTTTGGCCAGTATCAGAATTTTGATCTTCAAGACCAGACTAAATACAGAGCCTTTCTGAATCATGAAAGAGCAAATTATGAGTCATATTTTGGCAACCAAATTCTCTCTTCAGATTTTTCCAGTGTTAGTACCCAATACAAGTACTTGTAGAATGATTCCTTCTAGTCCTTGCCAAATTTGATTACAAGGTAACCGTGGATGAGAATGCTCATACCTGAAGTATTCGGACTTTATTGTTATCGCGTGACAAAATCTTGCTGATTGCCAAATTTGGAACTATCCTGATAGGTTCATGAACAATAAACGCAGAAGAACAAGAGATATATATAAGCCAACACAACAAATATTTGAAGAAGATTGACAAGAAAATCCTCCTTAAGTCAGAACAGTGAAGCCCGGATATGATAAATATATGTGTTCGGTACTTACTCTGGAAGACTCTCATAAGACGTTAGAACTTTCCAAACTTCACAAACAGGAGCTTTAACTGTTATACTAGCAACGGCGCATCGGTGAACACCTCCATTTTCCTTCATCCAAGAAAAAAACCACTGACTCATAAACACAAAAGATGGGAAAACTTTTTTTTTTCATAGTATATAGAGTAAGTTTTGAGCCAAACTACTTACCAATAGACCATCAAATCTACGAAGATGAACTTCATCCACGGTGCAAGGTTTATCAAGCTTGCAGGCTTTTCCATACACTCCCCAATTGTTGTTCAATTCATTTGAATGAGCTAATGATCCAACACTGGAGGCAACAGATCTCTCCGTAGCAAGACTATCGAACTCAATACCATTAGAAGGGGCTGGCTGTGAAGATATTATACCCAACAAATCTTCTATTATTGACGGCTTTCCGCAATCTTTATAAATTTTCTCAGCTTGGCGAGCTACGGCCCGGAGATTTACAGGAAGATCTGATCTGATTATCCTCTCTAAGAAAATGGCAGGGAAGTTAAATCTTGGGATTACGTTTACTTCGTATGACAAGACAGTTCCTACGGACCTGGAGAAAGAGAAAAACAAATGTTTGGAACATAGATGGTTCCAAAATGATCCGTGGTTAGAAATGCATAACAGACTGTTTACAGAAAGAATTTCTCTGATACACATTTATAGAGGATTTAATTTAAATGATGATAGGATGAGCACACAAACTTCTTACGGGGATTAATGAGTGTACCTGATACCAGATTTCACAGACCACTTTCCCTCAAACTTTTTGAAATCACCATCTACCATAGAGAAGTGAAGCTCACGACCATTTGGCTAATAAGATAATAGGAAAAACTACATTAATAGAGATGTATGGATTGAGAAACAAATGTAATATAAGAACTCAAGAGTAAAGATTAACTAATTAACCAAACAACAAAACTACTTGTTACAAATAACATCTTGTTGTACCCTAAGTAACCAATGCAATGAGTGCAAAGCAGGCTGAAAGAGAACTCATTAGAACCATGGATCTTTTCAAGAGTAAACCTCACTATGATTGTTTTTTCTAGAACTAATAAGAGGTTAGGAATAAGGATCTAGAGAAAGTGGGAAGCAGGCAACTCCTTATCAACCATGATTACAGATCATCCAGTGTAAAGGAAACCTCTTGATTCTTAACAAAAGCTAAGATATGCATAAAAAAGAGACCACAGAATCCGGAAGAGTTTGCAGGTTTTAGACTCAATCCCAATCATTCAGCAAGAGAAAAGTAAAGGCTTAAGAGTGCTCACAGAATCTAGACACTCATGGAGATCAAGGACAACACGAGCCTCAATATGCCAATACAAGGCTCTTTGAAGGCCTCGTTGCTCCAGCCATATACGTCCTGGATGTGGACAAGGAATTCTTCCACTACAAGTTGAAACAATATACCATCAACAAAGAGAGGTAACTAAGCATGGAGATTCAGCATTCTCTTGGAGACGTATAGTCATTGTATTCAGTATAAACAATTTCAATGGCATGAACCAGATAACATAAAAATTGAATCTTTAGAGATTATTCAGAAGAATTCTGTAGATAAACACAAACAAAATGATAAGAATCTGAAAGAAAAAAGTGGGTATTACTGAGGGAAGTACCTCCAAACGAGATTGGGTATGAAATCAGCAAGTCGTTCATAATCAGTAAGAACATTCCAAACAGATTGAGAATCAGAATCGACCCAGATTTCGCCTCTTATCCTCCGTTCTCTCCACGAGATCACATCAACCTCACAACGCACTTTTCTCTCTCCTCTCTCGTCGAAACCTAATCCACTATCTCTCCTCAACCCGTTATCACCTCTACCACCGGCGCCGCTATGTCTCGTTCCATGGCACTTGGCGACCCCAGCAGCGCCGCCGATCCCGGAGGTGGAAATGGACGAGAATACTCGAATCCGAGAGGGAGATGGGAGCAACACACTTAAAAACACTGGTTCATTGAGGAAATTGATAGTGTGAACGCCATGAGAGAGATGTGGAAACTTGCTCACTGACATTAGCGAAAGGTGTTCGACGAGATGTGTCAGTGTAGAGGAAGAAGATACTGTTGCAGAGTGTTACATTACCGTTAAATATTCTCAGCCACCGGATTTTTTCTTATTTTATATATTTGATGTATGGTTGAAATTCACCTTTTGTTCTTCAATAGACATTATATTCGAAACCATGATTTAAACTTTATTGTTCCTCTGAAGTTTTGTATTTGCATTTTCATGTTACAAAAAATATTATAACAAGGAAACACAAACATAAACACCAACAAACAACAACAACAACAACAACAACAACAACAACAACAACAACAACAACAACAACAACAAAGACTTAGAAGACAAATGCAACAAGACTCTTAAACCAATATGATGGATGATGATCCAACACAGAGAGGAGA